AAGGGGAAATAAGATTACTGTTTGGATTTTTAATTAATTAAATCGATACGTAGTAATTATGTTCTTCAGGGACTTGATAAGTGACTGGTGTATGAAATAGTTTTCACAGTTTATTTAAGCAGAAAATAGAGATTTGAAGACTCTCGTCTCACAATGGTTATTGATGCTAATCATAATCCTAAGGGCCTAACGTACACTTTCGTGTTCCGTTCGGGGTTAAAATTACTTTTTGGAAATCTCTAAGTTCTAATTCGTTTTAAAGTGCTTTCGCTGTTATTAAAACAAATGCCTAGTGTTTACTATCTGACCTTACCGCAGCTTTCGCTAGTTGGTTCGTATCTTAATTAATTTCCCACTTTCGTGGCAAAACTACTTTAAAATAAGTTCTCGCTTTCGCGACGAAGTTTATTTCGTAAATCAATTTTAAACACTTAGACCATAAGTTATTTTTGTGAAAAGAAAGTTTTCAAACAAGAGTTATCAAGTCCCATTCGAATTATTACCACATATCGATTACCTAAGTTTAGCTAGACATGGAATTTAGAAAAGCAAAACATAAATAATAATAATAAATAATAAATTTCATTATGATAAAATAGAAGTCGATCAAAATGAAAACCTGTAAATAATGCCAATTGGCCTTTGGGCAGATCCTCCACAGATGTTGGCAGGATTCTGTCTTTAGTTCCAATTCGATCGTACAGTGCAGTAACAATTACAGAAGAGCGGAAATGGGAATGAGTAAAAATGGAAAGGGAAATAAAGGAAAGGGATACAAATAAAACTGGAGAAATGGATACAAATAATAACTGAAAGTAAATTTGCTGGAAAGTAAATTTGGCAGCACTTCGTGGTATGAATGCAGCTCCTTTTTTGAAGTCCCCTGCTTCCCTTTTTATAGAGGTGGAATTCCAACGGTTACCTCTGAGGATGATGGACCTTGAGGCAGATAATTTAGGGAGTAGTGGACCATTTAATGGGAATTGGAACTGCTCTTTTGACGTGTAATCTGAGTGGGGCGTTTTTGCCTGCATGACGGTCGTCACAAGGTGTGACGGTCGTCACCCGTGTGACGGTTGTCATGCATCTGTGACGGTCGTCACATCAGCAAAAACTGTCTGCTGCGTTTTTCATTGTGTTTTCACTCCTTTTTCGTCCATATTTCATCTGGGATTGCTTCTTTTCTTCATGTTGCCTTGTTTAGACGTGATCGTTGAATACCTGCAAAAACATCAGACAAATACATGGAAATAACCCGAAATCGGATCGAAAACGGTTAGCTTTTAGTTGAATTATGCATGAAAATATCTATACGATTTCGTGTTATCACAGAGTTGCTGGTGATGAGTTCCTCGAACTTTATCTTTATCGATCCTACGAATAGGTTCCTCGGGGATCCGCCGGAGATGACCATGGCCTTCGAAAAATATTCCCATCGAGTGGTGGGGCGCACGGGCTCGTCGGGAAGATCGGGTCCGTTGGAGAGGCCGAATTCTATGTGTGCGAACCAATCCTCAGGTTGGCTGACGCAGAGGGCAACCTGCAGACTGTTGTCACCGTCAGAAGAGGGGAGGTCTTCGACTCTCTTGGCCTCGGGGGCGTCTTGTTGCGGGGTTTCTCCTCCCCGGGTGTATCTCTTCAGGTGGCCATCCTTGATCAAGATTTCGATCACGTCTTTGAGGTGGATGTAGTCTTCTGTAACGTGTCCGTGGCTTTTATGGAAGCGGAAGAAATTTGATTTTTCCATGTTGGGCTTGGGGGGTGTCGGCCTGGGGAAGCGGACACCTCCCTGGAAAAACTCCGTTTTGGCGCATTCGGCCAGTATGCGCTCGCGGGAAGCGACTAGGGCCGTATACTCCGTGAATCGGCCGACTGGACTGCGCTGCTCGTGTTGTTCGCGGGGACGATCCTCCTGTCGGCGATCTCCTCTGCTCCGGTGGCTCGAGGCTCCGTCCTCTCGGGGCCCGCGGGGGGTCTCTTGGTCTTGTGTGTCCTGGGCGGGATTGGCCGCTTGAGTCTCCTCGAATCGGATGTAATGCGCGGCTCTGTCGAGGAAGTCTTGTAGAGAGGCTGGTCGGTGTATGGCCACAGCTTCGTAGAACTTGGAGTCTCGGCGCAGGCCTTGCTCCATCAAGTAACGCTTCATCTCATTCTAACATCGTTACCTGTACTGCCTCCCATGTGAACCTTTTGATGTACTTCCGGAGGGGCTCGTCGAGAGCCTGGATTATGGCGCCCAGCGCGGCTTCCGTCTTCAGATGGCGTCGGGATGTCGTGAAGTGTCTCGAAAAGAGGTCCTTCAAGACCTTCCATGACGTGACCGAATCTGGCTCCAGGCTTTTGTACCATGTCATGGCACCTTTCCTCAGTGTCGTCGGGAATAGTCTGCATTTGATAGCTCCCCGGACATTTCGGTAGTCGAGCATGGCCTCGATGTCTTCCAGGTGGTCGTCCGGGTCGGAGGTACCATCGTACGTCGAGAGCGCCGGGGTTTTTTCCATCCCGTGGGGGATGGGAGCAGCCATGATCTCTCGGGACAAGGGGGTCCTGTAGTCGTCCTCTTCACTGAGAGTTGGTGATCGAGGGGGTGATGGCCCATTTGGCGGAGGTGCTTGATTTCGTGCCCTCGGCCTCCTGACCGGAGGTTCGGCCCTCGGAGGTCTGGTCGGGGGATCCCCCCTGGTTGACCGCCGCTCCCGGACTTGTCTCGTGGGGGACCTAGTCCATTCCCGTACTACTTAGGGTTGGGGCCTCTCTAGCCGGGGTCGTCGATTCCGGGGGCGAGGATATGGGCTCCTCGAATTTCCGTTCTGGTCTTCTTGCGGAGGGGACCTCAACGGGGCTTCGTGCTCTAGCGCGCCAATCCCTGCGTTTTGTTGGAACAACAACTGATTTTTTTGGTTGATGGCCGCGAAGAGGGCAGCCACTGTCGGGTCCGCTCTGGCTGGGACAGGGATGGGTTGGAATGCTGCTGGGCTCCTTGGTCGGAGAACGGTCTGGTGAGCTACTTTCGCAGACGAGGGAAAGGCAGTCTGACCGTCCCTCTCGTCGGTCTCCGGAGGTTGGGACGTCTCCGTTTGCTTGCTGCCGTTCACGGCGGGAGCGAGGATGAAGTCGTGAACGACATCGTCGTGGTGTGGGCTAGCCATGATCACGAAATGTTGGTGAAAACTTTGGTTCTCTGCTCGGAGGAACGGGGAAGTTTTATGTTCCCACAGACGGCGCCACTGATCTGACCTGATCAGAAGAGGATCGCTGATTGCCACGCGTCGTCGACTTGCTGCCTGTTTATCGGTGTTGAAGAATAGGAGGGGGTGTACCTGCAAGGCACTCCGATGCTAAAGTAAGTGTATGGGCAGAGTGATCACAAATACAGAAAAGGGTAAGAATCGAATTACCTGATCCTCTTGTGGAAGAGGGTATTTATATAGAGACCACAACGCTGGGCCAACGTTCACTTGTGTTGGGCTGGATTGCCAGGCCCAACCCAGGTGACTACTAGGGCTTACGTGGCGTAGTGAAGACCAGGACGTGGTCTTCGCCCTAGTCCAACTGTCCCGTGATCTCCGAAAAGTGGGTTTGACCTGCTCTTTCGGAGGTGGGCAGTTGGTCGGTGACGTGTCCCCGCGGAGGGGGGCACGTGGAGAACGTGTGAAGGACACATTGTCCTGCTCGCGGAGGGGCAGGTGTCTGGTCGATGGGGGAGTCTTGTGCTCGACATAGGTAAGGAAGGTTCTGCCTACGGAGGGACATTACCTGCTCGCTGGGGACTCTGTGCCCGACGGCTGTTGCCCAAGCTGGAATGGGCTTGGCAGAATATTATTGGGCTGGGCCTGTCCGACCAAGCCGAGGCCCAGGCCAGAACAACATGGTTACATCGACTCATATTTTAGTGGAGATCAAGATGAAAAGAAAAGTACTGCAGACTACATATTCATGATTGAAGGTGCACCAATCTCTTAGAGCTCAAGAAAACAAAGCAACATGACTCTGTCATCTTGTGAAGCTGAGTACGTGATTACATCGTGTGCACCATCTTAAGTAGTATGAATAGAGATATTGCTCGAAGAGATCAAAATCATGAAACCTATGAAAATGAAGTTGTTTGTCGATAACAAATCAACAATTGACCTGACAAATCATCCAGTGTGTCATGGTCGAAGTAAGCACATCGAGACGGGGTATCATTTCCTTAAGGATCAAGTAAATAAAAGGAAGTTAGAACTTGAGCATTGCAAGACAAAATGACAACTAGTTGATATACTCACCAAATATTTGAAAAAAGTGAGGTTTAATGAATTGAAGAAAAACATTATTATAAGAAGTCACAAAAACATGAATCAGAGATGTGTTCGAAGTTGTAATTTAATGTTTTAGAATACAAGGTGTATTCAATTTAAGTGTGTTTGACCTAGTCGAAGTAAGGAATCAAGTAAGAGGAAGTTATATTCAATTTTATTGAATACAATATGTAGCTCTCAAATTATATAAAGTCAAATGTTGCCGTTAGTAAGTATATATTTTTAGTTCTCTATATAAAGAAGTGATGATGTAAACTTTACAAGTTTTTTAATACAACAATTTATTTTTAATAAAATTCGCTTTTCAGATATAATTCCTCTCTTGTCTTTTTTTATTCATGTTTAAACTCTTATTGTTTCAACAAATAGAATAATGAAACCAAAATAATGTTTTTAAATATATTTGTTGAAAAGTCATTAAATATATTATATTTAAATATGTAATTGATTCTAAAAAAAATACACCACTTTTTAGTGTAACCCATACAGTTTTCTGGATTGATTTTGCTACTTATAAATATTTTTTATTTCATTTTTTATCTTGTTATTTTATTTTGTTCCATGTATATTTGATGTTACAATCTATTTATCTTAGGGTCATACATAAAAATACCTTGATCGACAAGACCAAAACAAAATAAAAAACCAAACAAAAAGACGAGGTATTGTTTCAGTAAAGTTCAAATCAAAGTAAAATCCATGGAAATGAAAATGGAAGTAGACAGTGAAAACAGAGAAGAAAACAAACAACAGAAGGATCTATTCAAAGCAGCTGAACAAGGAGATTCTTCAATCTTCGAATCACTATCCCCTCAATCACTCTCCAAATCACTCTCTCTAAAAAACGAAGACGCTCGCTCTCTTCTCCATGTCGCCGCTTCTTCTGGACACTCCAAGGTTCCCTTTTCCCTTTCTCTAAAGGGTCTCTTCCGTTTTCGTTCAATCTCATAAAAATTTAATCTTTTCTTGTATTTGTATCTGAACCCTAAATTGAATGGTGTTATTTTTTATTTTGTAATTGTGAATGTGAATTTTTTAGGTGGTGAAGATATTATTGTCTTCTGATGCATCGGCTGAGGTGATAAATAGCGGTGATGAAGAAGGGTGGGCACCGCTTCATTCTGCCGCCAGCATTGGGAATTTGGACATTGTGGAGGCTTTGTTGAACAAAGGTGTATTTTTATTTTATTTTGTTAACTTCTAAGAGATTTAGGGAATGTTTGGATTTAGGGTTTTAGAGGGGAGTATTCACTTTTTTTATTTCTAGGGTTTTCGGGATAGCTCATGAAAACATCTTATAACTTATATGATAACAGTTTTTAGGGTTCTAGCTACTGTTTACTGTTAGTTTTTCTTTCATATGAGTTGAGAAAATAGAAGCAATTGTACGCAATCACAAGTGTCGGTGTTGGACACAGAGGCACCTTCAATTTGAAGTGTCAGTGTTATATAGGTCGAAAGATTAATCAATCATATTTTCATTTTTGGTAGGAGCTGATGTTAATGTAAAAAACAATGGGGGACGCACTGCCTTACACTATGCAGCCAGCAAAGGTCGGATGAACATTGCTGAAATACTCATCTCTCATAATGCCAAGATTAATATAAAGGACAAGGTTGCAGCATGGGTTCATTTGATTTATTTGTTGAAACTATGGTTTCAATTTCCTCCATTCTTCGTTATAATCACATTATTAAAGATGACGATATGATAATTAGTATGTCTCCTGTAAATTGTAATATGATCAGGTTGGTTGCACTCCGTTGCATCGGGCAGCTAGCACTGGGAATTCTGAGTTGTGTGAATATTTGATTGAAGAAGGAGCAGATGTTGATGCTGTTGATAGAGCTGGTCAAACTCCTCTAATGAATGCCGTGGTTTGTTATAACAAAGAGGTATGCTCATTAGTGCACTGTTCAATTTAGAGGGTATATAAATCATATTTCTTATCATGCTTTTGTCGATCACGTTGACGCCTATGTTACACGTGTCATTAATTGATGTTAGTACGAGTACATTGGTTTTAGAGTTCGCTACCTCATTAATTCTGTAATTTGTATGTAGATTGATAAAAGTCTGTAATGACAAATATGTTTTGTAGTTTTGTTATTGGAGTCTCATAATTTTGGAGCAGCATACATTGATGTAGTGCGTAAATATCTATCACGTGTTCGGTTTACAGGTAGCTCTCCTTCTGATAAGGCATGGAGCAGATGTGGATGTAGAGGACAAAGAAGGGTACACAGTGCTTGGTCGAGCTGCCGATGATTTTAGAGCAATATTAATTGACGCTGCGAAGACCATGCTTGAGTGATCCAAGCAAAAGATAACGAGAAAATCGTCTGTAATGCAATATAGAGCATTATTATGATGTAAAAGAAACAAGGTTTTTGCTTAACATCTGTTTTATTTGTATGACCGGTTAGTGCTGCATTTTCACCAACCTTGCATTTGTCTCTTTTTAACAGGATTGGTGGTTGTTTCTCACTAATTTATTGAAACACTTGTGTTTATAGCTGTACCTAACACTTATATTTAAAATTTTAAGTTTGTACTTGTTTTTTTTTTAATATTTGAGTTTGACATTTTCGAATGTATGAGTAGTCTCTTAATCTATTTAAAAGTCTATTTTATTTAATATTTATAAATAAATTCATAATGAGATTAAATGTTTGTTTGTGGATTTATTTAAGTTTATCTAATAATGTTACTGTTTGTTTGAGAAAACTTATCAAAACAATTTATGATATTGTTTATAAGAGATTTTTAACTTATTTTTATAAGTTCTTTAGGATATCTAAGTTTTATTTTTATATTTTAATTTAAATTATAAAATACGATATAATCGCAACAATAATAAAATTTATTCTTATTTATTTAAATATGTTGATTGATCTGAAACACTTTTTTTTTATAAAAAATTTAAGTATTTTAGATTTTTTTAAAAAAAAAAATTTAATTTGACTTGAATTTGTGTAAATTATGTAGGAAATTATTAACCCTATTTTTTGTATCTCTATACCATATCTTAGAAATACAAAAATAATTTAATTTTATCTAATTAAATCTTATATAGGACAATTTTAACTATTTTTTTAATTAAAAATTATATTGTCACCTCTAATTCTTCTATCTTTATCACATTTGTTCTCTATATAGTAGCATAAATACAAAATCAATTTGATTTTTTATATAATTAAACCTTATATTGTCACCCCTACTTCTTGTGTCTCTATATCATATATTTTCTCTAGCAACATATATGCAAAATTAATTAAATTTTTATATAATTAAATTTTATATGCGAGGACTTTAACTATTTTTCTAATTAAATTTGATATTGCCAGTCCTACTTTTTGTGTATCTATACTAGCATAAATGTAAAATTAATTTGATTTTTATATAATTAAATCTTATACAGGACTTTTACTACTTTTCTAATTAAATATGATATTGCCACTCCCTATTTCTTATATATAATTAAATTTTAGATGGAAATACTTTAACTACTCTTCTAAATAAATATGATATTGCCACTCCCTATTTCTTATATCTCTATATTATACCATATCTTTTCTCTCATAAATGCAAAATTAATTTGCTTTTTATAGAATTAAATCTTATATAGGAACACTTTAACTACTTTCTAATTAAATATGATATTCTCACTCCCTACTTCTTATATCTCTGTACCATATCTTTTCTCTATAGTATTATAAATGCAAAATGAATTTGATTTTTATCTAATTTAATTTTATATGGGAGAACTTTAACTAATTTCCTAATTAAAAATCTTATATTGTCACTCCTAGTTCTTACCTTAATACCATATATTTTCTCCATAAACATGAATGCAAAATTAATTTGATTTTTATCTATTTAAATCTTATATAAATATTCTGACCTCTTTTGTTTTTCAGAATCAGATCTACCAACCAGTCTTACCTACCCCTTAACATTTCTATATATCCATCATCTTGGTTACATCAGGAAGAACCAGAAACACAACATTATTAGAAAAACATGTCTCTTGTTCCTGTGACTCATGTAGCTCTCTTGCCAAGCTCTGGCATGGGCCATCTCATTCCATTTCTCAGGCTTGCTGCACTGCTTCTCCAAAACCAATGCCATGTTACTCTCATAACCCCTCAACCAACTGTCACCAAAGCAGAAGAACTTCTTCTCTCTCAGTTTCACTCTTCTTTCCCTCAGGTCAACAAACTTGAGTTTCACCTTCTTCCTTCTCATGATAATGATGCTGTCACTACCAACACTTCTACTGACCCCTTTTATCTCCAATTTGCATCCATTCGTAGATCTTCACACCTTCTATCCCCTCTTCTTGCTTCACTTTCGCCGCCGTTATCCGCGTTCATCTATGACATGACATTGGTTTCACCTATTCTTCCTATTGTTGAAAACCTTTCTGTCCCTCACTATATCTTGTTCACTTCTTCAGCTACTATGTTCTCCTTCTTCTCTTACTTTCCTTCCGTGGCTGCTTCCTCGTCTTCTTCTGACGTTGTCGAGATTCCAGAAGTTGCTACCATACCAAGATCATCAATCCCTCCGCTCCTCTTGATGCCAAATAGTTTATTTTCTAAGATTTTCATGGAGGACAGTCCTAAGCTCAAAAAACTCCATGGTGTTTTGATAAACACTTTTGAAGGACTTGAAGGAAATGTGCTAAAGGCTCTTAACAATGGAAAAGTGGTGAAGGAGTTGCCTCCTATATATGGAGTGGGTCCTTTTGCACCTTGTGAGTTTGAAAAAATTGAGCAAAATGGAGTTGCTACTCCATTGAAATGGCTCGACGATCAACCGGACGGTTCAGTGGTGTATGTAAGCTTTGGAAGTAGGATTGCTATAGGAAAAGATCAAATAAGAGAGATAGGAGAAGGGTTAGTGAGAAGTGGATACAAGTTTTTGTGGGTGGTGAAGGATAAGAAAGTTGATAGGGAAGAAGAAGAAGAAGGAGGAGAAGGGTTAGAAGAGGTTTTAGGATTTGAGCTTATGAAGAGGATAAAGGAAAATGGATTGGTAGTTAAGAAATGGGTGGATCAAAGTGAGATTTTGAGTCACAAAAGTGTGGGAGGGTTTGTGAGTCATTGTGGTTGGAACTCAGTGATAGAGGCTGCATGGTTTGGTGTACCAATCATGGGGTGGCCTCAAATTGGAGACCAAAAGATAAATGCTGAATTGGTTTCAAAAGGAGGGTGGGGTGTGTGGAAGAAAGAATGGGGGTGGGAAGGTGAATGTGTAGTGAAAGGGGAAGAGATTAGTGAGACTATAAAAGAGATGATGAATAATGAATCTATTGGCATCAAAGCAACACAAGTTAAAGAGGCTGCAAGGAATGCTATAAGTGTTGGTGGTGGATCTAAGGTTGCTATTCAAGCACTAAAGGAAGTGTGGAAAAAAAATGTTGAAAAAAATTGAGGGTTTATGTATGATTTGGTTAAAGGAGTTGATTCTAGCATTTGAAATAAGGGTTAGGATTAAGTATTGATTTTTCATTATTCAGAAGTTGTTTTTCTATTTTCTTTAGTATTTATGATTTGGTTAAATGTTCCATTAGATTATTAATGCAAAATTGTGGTTTATTCATTTGAGTAGATGATTAATTAAGATCATGTTTAAAATTATAAAATTATTGTTAATCATGTAAATGAATTAATCCAAATTTTAAACATAAGTTTAATTAACCATCTATATAATTGAAAAAACAATTTATTTTTTTTAATATTCTCTCTAACACTCACTTTTTATTGAGTAAAATATATATGTGAGATCTATTTTTAAATTGAAAAACTCATATGTGTTCATTTAATAAAAAAAATAAATGTTAGAGATAGTCTTAAAATGAGAGTATTCTTACTTGTTAGCATTCTTTAATGAACTAATATATTATTTTTAAAATGTGATCAACTAGATACAAAATGTGTAAAATTAAAATAAAATGAATATTATAACTAATTATATTTAAAATGTGATCAACTAGATATGACATGTGTAAAATTAAGAAAAAATATTATTCTAAATAAATAATGATGGTAAGGATTCGTTGTTACATACAGATCAAAAAAGGAGAATTAAAAATGTAGTAAAATGAAAGCGAAACTAGAGTAGTATCGCAAGAATTCTTAATTATTTTAACCAATTGGTTAAAATAGGAGGATTTAAGGTTTTCGATTATGCTACTGATTAAAAGAAACTAATTACGAATAAAATAAACAGGTTAATCTACTGTTTCAATTTCCCAACTTATCATCGATTAATATAATTCCCAAGCCCTAAGTGGATTCTATTCCTTTTTTTATTACAACATCAATCAACAAGCGCAATTGACACTATCTAATTTACACTCATATTTTCTGAATTAAGCAAACAAATTAAAGATTTGCAAGAATTAACGAAAAAGCTACGCTAACACGCGATAATGATTAAGGAATGTAAATCAATCGAAATAAATCAACACATATTCTATAGAACTTGAATTAAGCTTTCAGATATATAGAAGAATATTGAAAGGGAAAAGAAATTTGATTGGAAATTATAAAACCTCAAAGTATCGGTGGAAACCGAATAAATCAGATCAACTGTGTGAAATTTAGTTCTCTATAGTATTCGTGACCGTCTAAGTAAATTTCATAAATAATGAATAACCTAACAGTAGCACTGGATTTTAGTTTAAATTGTAAGCTTATGCGCGGTCTCTAAGAGGGGGTGAATTAGATTTATTGTACTTTTCTCAATTTGAAGCGTCAACCCTGGTTTTGTTATTTTTCAGAAATGATATGAAAGTAAATATGCTAAAAAAAATGAAAAAGTAAAGGACACGACAATATATGTTGGTTCCCCTCACAATCCGAAAGTTACTTTAATATGTGACTTTTTGAAATGTTGAGTAGCAATTAGAATCTCCCCTTATCTTGTATATCTCCCCCTTACTTTTGCAATTCAAGGATTTCTCCCTTGAAATAATTATGAACAAGAACATATATAATACCTACTATTTCTCCCCTTTTTGACATCATCAAAAAGAAGACAAAGTAGAATAAAGTACAAAGTAAGGTGATAACATGTAAATTATATATTTATAATTGAAAATTAATAGCACAAAATTAGACACTTATCTCCTTCATAAGGATTTGATGTCAAAGTTGATATCAATATTGATGCCTCTTCAAAACATATTTTCAATCAATGAAACTTTTAGAAACTACCTTATCATATGATCTTGAGTCTTGAAGGATCAATCTTGATTTGACAATGCTTGTATATGACCTTCAAGTACCTACAAAATATTAGTTA